CCATTATAATTTATTTTATCTATAATTCTCGACCTCTGTTTCTTCCTTAATTGATAAGCCAACCACCTACCCGGCTTATTTGCATTACAAAATGTATTATGTTTCATATAACATAAATTAGTTGCAACCTGATCAGTCATTAACATATTAAATTGTGTTTTAAGCAAATTTATAGAAGCCTTTACATTCTTATCCAAAGGATTCAAAATTAATGCTTTTTCTTTTATTTTAATCTCATCCTCCAATTCCTTACGTTTTTGCATTTGTTTTTGCCTATAAACCTTATTCATTTGAATCAAAACCCCACGCATATAAGCCTTACTGGCATCCCATACCATAGCCATTGAAGTTCCCTTAAACATATTTAAAGTAAAAAATTCCTTTAAATATTCTCTAAGTTTCTATACATTCACCTCATATCTAAATAAATTTTCATTCAACCTTCACGATCTTCTCTCCTCCTTCTTTTGTTCCTTTATTTCTTAAAGAAGGCTTGGTTCACCCCTCTTCAAGCCATCTTTGTACCGCACAATATTGGACAATGTTAGTCTAGTATCTAATCTCTTTCTGGGAAAGGTAGTTGAGAAAATGGCCATGCAGCAGCTTCAGAGGATCTTGGATGAAGTGGATTATCTAGATCCCTTTTAGTTAAAGTCTGAGCTGGGTATGGGACAGAAACTGGATCATCACACTTTTGGATCATCTCTGACAAGGGCAGGATGAAGGTTGTGCATCCATCCTTGTCCTACTTGATCTACTATGTCATCATCTCACTCCTTCCTGGGAAACTGCAACTTCGCTGTAGTCCAGACCAGGTTTTAATACCATCAGACCATGGCATCCTTCTGGATTGCCTATGGGGATTGGGATTGAGTGGCACTGTATTGTGGGGGTTCACCTCTTTTCTCTAGGGTCAGTTCCAGTTGGTGATCATTGGGGATGAAATCCCTTACTCAGCCTCTACTATGTGAGGTGCCCCAGAATTCACTGCTCTCTCTGTTTCTATTCAACACTTATGTGAGGCTCCTGGATGCGATCATTTGTCACCATGGGGTAAGATATTGTCAGCCTTCCCAGGTAGACCAGACAGGAAATTGACTAGATGAACTGATTCTACATCACCTTATTATAAGGCTATATTAGCAGAATCTTGAAAGACTGAAAGTACAAATCTCTTTTTACAGCCTGATAAACTAGGGCAAATCCTTTTTAAGTTTGTTAATCTGTTGTGGGATCTCTGCCCCCCAACAATATTATCTGATTATTCCTTAGGCAACATCTCTTCTCATGTTTCATAGTCATTCCTACATACTATTACAATTATTCCTAATGATTCATTCCTCCCAGGTTTCAGTCCCAGGTTAATTAAGTGATGCTGTGGACATCTTATCCCAGTATCTGGACATTCTGAGCCTTTAAATGGGAATAACAAACTCCAGGTGAACCCAGGTCCACTGATGGAGAAGATGGCAAGGAAGTGACAGCAGGGAGAAAGCAGAGTTGCTTAATTATTTCTTTGCATCTGTCTTCATACAAAAAGAAAAAATAGCCCAATTTAACAAAAATGTAACTGTAAAAGACAGACTAGAAATTCAAATTCAAATAGGCAAGAAAATGGTAAGAGCACACCTGACCACTCTAGACAAGTTTAAATCACTAGGACCTGATGGATTACATCTCAGTGTAGGGAAGGAGCTGGCAGAAGTGATCTCAGAATCATTGAACCATATCTTTCAAAGATCCTGGAGCACTGGGGAACCACCAGAGGACTGGAAAAGAGCTGATGTTCCCATTTTCAAAAAGGGGGAGAAAAATATCCAGAAAACTACAGACCAATCAGTCTTACACAGGGCTTTTTTTTCCTCATAGAATGCCCAGAACGGAGGGTAGGCAAGCCGGGTTGTATGACGTGTGAGTTTCGATACTTTTTTATATATATATAGAAAAAAAGCACTGGTCTTACATCTAAGATCCTGGAAAAGATAATCAAGTAACAGATCTGCAAGCACCTAGATGCAAACAATCAGAAGCCAACATGGGTTTATCAAAAACAGATCATGCTAAACAAATTTTATTTCATTCTTTGACAAAGTGACTAAATTGGTCCACCAGTGAAATGCTGGATTACCAAATAGTATACTTGGATTTCAGAAAGGAAATTGACAAAGTAGACCACAATCTACTTGATAAACTAGAAAAATGTGGGATAGACAACATCACCACCAGATGGATTTGTAATTGGCTAACAAACAGCACTCAATGTGTAGTCCTTACTGGAACTACATCTATATGGAAGAAAGTGAGCAGTGGAATATCCCAAGGTTCTGTTTTAGGCCAAGGACTCTTCAATAGCTTTATAATATCTTCATAAACAATTTAAATGAGGGAATAGAAGAGGAACTCATCAAATCTACAAAGACACAAAGCTGACAGGAATAGCCCACACCCCAGAAGATAGGCTCAAGATCCAGAAGGCTCTCGAAAAACTTGAACACTGAGCCCTATCTAACAAAATGAAATTCAGTGGTGAGAAAAATAAGGTTTTACACCTAAGCAAGAAAAACCAAATATAGGCTGAAGACTAAAATATATGAAGAACGGTTGCAGGAATAGCCTAGTGAAAAAAAGGACTAGGGGCAATATGATAGTGTTCCTCTGTATTTGAGAAGCTGCCACAAAGAAGAGGTCAACTTATTTTCCAAAGCACCAGAAGGCAAGACAAGGAAGACAACCCAGGAAACTATATGTGTCACTTTGACTCCTATAATGGACAAGGTTTTCAAACAGATTACAGTATCAGTACTTTTGTGAGCACTTGTGGACATGCTAACAGGAGTTGGAATGGATTTATCACAAATAATTCCAGACTAGCTTTATTTCCTTCCTTATCTTGTTAACTTGGTCATTCAGGAATGTATAAGATATGGTGTATCTGGATTCCAGTACAATAAAAACTTTGACAGATTATATGTTCTTAATAGTTAAGTGGGTTTAATAATATATTGCTAGATAGACTTGCAGTAGGCAAAATTAGTGCTAATAGATGGATCTACTTCAGCTTGGAGAATTGAGTGGAGTGCTAGGAAGCTTAGTCCCAAGTCCTTATATTTTAATGTTTTTTATCAATGACTTGTGCAAGGAGTGGTAAGTACTCATAAAGCTTGCAGAGAGCACAAAATTGGGGTAGAGGTGGTATAAGTAAGTAAATAAATAAGAGAAGATTTAAAAATATATAAACAGACTTGAGCAGTAAGCTGACATGAATAAATGGGATTTATTCAAGAAGAAATTTAAAGGGTGGTATTGTGGGGAAAATTTAAAAATAAAAATATATATATTGTTAGTATTATTATCATGTAATCATATTTTATATTTTATAATTATTATTGTATAATCAATTGCCTGAGTAGATGCTTTGAGTATATAGGGAACATACAAGCCTCAGGTGGAGGAAGGGGGGAGAACAGGAGTTACCATGGGGCTCAGTATGAGTCACCATCTAGGAATTGTTTTTAAGTACCTTCTGGTGCCTAGTATCCCTACTGGATCTAACAGGTGTAGAAGATGGGAGACATCTCTCCTCTAGAATTGATATAGGATAGTAGGGGAGGGATCTTATTAGTATAATGTATAATGTATTTAGTGCTTGGCTACATTGCATTGCCTTCCTGAATCCACCACGCTTTGCAAACAGTTATTTTTTTAGACTTGGATGTGAAGTCTAATAAACTTCCTTTCTATTTGTAACTCAGAGTGGATTTCAATTTGTGACTATTTTTGTGGTAACAGTATTGGCTTGACAGTATATGTAAAAATAATCTGTACTCAGGTCAAATCCAAGTGAAACGTAAGCCAACTGCAGCTGCTGAAAAGGTAAACAATATTCTGCGGTACAGGAACAAGGGCATGATGCTCAGATCATGAGAAGTAGTTTGAAGTACTGTATTTAGTTTTGGGCACCACTACTCAAACATGATAGTGATAAACTGCAGCAAATACTGGGGCTATTGATGGATGAAGGCTTCACAAGCCAAGGCTTATAAGAATATTAAAGTATCTGGTTATATCTTGCCTTACATAAATTATAGTTGTGAGGACATAATATTACAACAGTCTTCCAATACTGGAAGATTTGTCACTGCCCTAATGGGCCCTAACTCTTGACTGAGTTGCAGGCAGTGGAAGAGACTGTTACACAATTTGGTGAATTTTTTGCAGTAGTGCTTGAGACAAAGGCTGGAAAATTATCAGATATCCTCAAGTAGATATGCTTCTAGCATTAAGCAGGACACTTGGAAATCTTGTTGGACAGAGTATTTTCCAAGTTTTACAATTTTGTCTCAATAGGTAGGATATATTTTTTAAATGCACAACGTTGCGTATTTTATGAAAGGGCATTATCAAGAATAGCTCAAAAACCATATTTGCCTTAAAAAAAAGAGAGAAACTGCCCTTTTCTCCATTGCTGGGGGGAAGGGGGGAAGAGTACTGTATCAGAGATAGACACAAAACCACCCCCAAGGGTAGCCTTTCCAGCTCCTCTCCGGGCAACGGCCCGTCATACATACAACAGTGGCGGCTGGATAACACTAGAGTTTATTGTCTTTTGCTTTCGACTCTTGGCTACTCTCCATGCTGCCCTCTTTCAACTCTGATCTTTGAGTGAATAATAAAATCCGGAATTCGTGAGCCTTGGTTAATCCACCTTCAGGCAGTTTCAAAAATAGAACCCACAAGACGAAAAACCTGCACTTCCGCCGGCACAAATGAGTTTGTTTTAAATATTTTTGCTACGCATGTTCCTTCGCCTTGCGAGAGAGTCTGGTGCAAGCTCCCACTCACCGCAACAGCACGGTCTCCCGCCGACCAGTAAATCCCTAGAGGAAGAAGGAAAACGAAAATCATTCCTTCGCTCTTCCTCTGCCCTCCCCAAAACGACCCAATCAGAACTCCCTCCCTTTCCACGTGCCCTTTGTGGTAGCTAAAGATCCTTCTTCGAAGAAGAACGAAAGGGACGGTTGGTTGGCTTGTTTGCTACGGGCTCCCTTAGTGGAGGCTTTTTACGAGGTTGAATTGGTTGCACTTGGTCCTGCCCATCTTTCTGTGGAATAATTCGTTCGTCAAAGATTCCTGTTGCTTAAAATAAAGTCCCTTGGCGTCGGCAGGCTTCATTCCTCTACTGGAGCCATGGCTTTGGGAATGGTCTCCCTATTGAAGCATTGCTTGTGGATTGGTCTTGGTGAGTGCCGCTTCGTGCCAGTATAGAATATGGCTATTTAGAGGCGAGAACAGAGTCGGGGGCAGGTCATCTACACGTTGAGGCGATATAGGCTAAAATCTGAATGGGGGAGTTTGTACATATATGTATGTGTATATATGTATATATGATGTGTGTATGTGTATATATGTGTGTGTGTGTGTGTGTATATATATGCATATACATATACCCTGTAATTATTTTGTGTCCGTGTATTGCTGTATTGCAGTCAATCTGCCTTTTGATGATAGCTATGATAGTACAGGTGATGATGATTAATGGCAGTACAAAACAATTTATCAGATTCCCACAAAATAACTTTTGCTTTGTGTCAACAAACTTATTTTTCTAACAATATCAACTTTCAGCTGCAATAGAATTGTATAATGCCTTCTGCATTTATAAATACAATTTGTACAAATTACTTTTGAGTTTGTATATTGTTTCTGTTTTATCAGGTTATGTTTTACCACTCAGTCTAACTATGAGATGCTTTGAGGTCAATGAGAATTCAATTCTATCATTCTACAGATGTGTTGCATTTCAACTCTCTCTCTTGCATGTTGAAGCATAAAGTGCTGGTCATTCTACTATATTCTCTTCTAAATAATATTGTGATGAGGATTGGGCCAAAGTTGAATTTCCCATCCTTCTGATTAGCTAAGCTAGGGCTACATAAATTATTACAGTCTTCCATTTTTCTTACTCAAATTTATGGCTTTGTGTATGTAGGACAGATACTATTTTCTGGTGGAAATATTTCATAGTATTAATGCCTTTCTGGAGTTTAGCACTAGATCTCAGAATGGATTTTGGATCCTAAAATGGATCCTATATTGGCAGAAAAAGTAAACATTCATAAAATCATAATCCTATAATCAAAGAAATCAAAATTATCCAAATGAAAAAATAAAAACATGTAAAAAAGATAAAGCCATGTGTGAAAAGCTAAGTACACCTTATGATTAAATAGCTTGTTTTGGCAGCAGTAACATGAAATAATCATTTTCTGTAAGCCTTTATCAGTCTCTCACATTGTTGTGGAGGAATTTTGACCCACTCTTCTTTACAATATTGTTTCAGTTCATTGAGGTTTGTGGGCATTTATTCATGCAGTTCTCTTGAAGTCCCATCACAGTACAGCATTAAATTAGGATGACGTCTGTACTTTGACTTTGCAACTCCTTGATTCTTTTCTTTTTCATCCATTCTGTTTTAAATTTGCTAGTGTGTGTGTGGGATCATTGTCGTGCTGCATGATCCAACGTTGGTTAAGCTTTAGCTGTCAGACAGGTGGCCTCATATTTGTCTCTAGAATACTTTTGTATTCAGAGGAGTTCATGGTTGATTCAGTGACTGCAAGGTGCCCAGGTCCTGTGGCTGCATAACAAGGCCAACTCATCACCCCCTCCATCATTGTGCTCCACAGTTGGTGTGAAATGTTTGTGCTGATATATTGTGCTTGGTTTTTGCCAAACATAGCACTGTGCATTATAGCCAGACATCTCCACCTTTGTCTTGTTTGTCCAAAGGACAGTGTTCCAGACGTCTTCATTTGTTCAGCTGCAACTTTGCAAACCTGATCTGTGCTGCCATGTTCTTTTTACAAAGAAGAGGCTTTTTCCTGGCAACCCTTCCAAAAAAAACATACTTTAGGGTTTTTTTCTAATTGTACTGCCATGACCTTTAAGATTTAACATGCTAACTGAAGCTTGTAGAGTTTGAGATATAACTTTTGCAACTTTTGCACGATCTGACCTTGGGGTGAATTTGCTAGGTTGTCCAGTCCTGGGAAGATTGGCAACTGTCTTGAATGTTCTCTACTTGTGAATAATCTTCCTCACTGAAGAATGATGGACTTCAAAGTGTTTGAAAATGGTCTTATAAGCCTTCTCAGATGGATGGGCAGCAACAATTGCTTTTCTAAGATCATTGCTGATTTCTTTCCTCTTTGACATTGTGTTAACGCACACTTCAGTGCTGGAGATCATCAAGTACCTAAAACTTCACCTTTTATAGAAGTAGTCACATTTGCTGATGATCAGTTGATCAAGGACACCTGGTTAGCAGGACCTGGCTGCTACTTAATTTCTTCATACTTATGGAAGTACTAAGGTTTTAGCTTTTCATACATGGCTTCTCCATTTTGGCTTTCTTTTTGTAAAATAAATGATGACATGGTGTAATATGTCATGTATTGTTGTTCATCTGAAGTTGTATTTACCTACTCTTAAGAGCTGCTAAGGACCAGATGATTATTATATCATCATACATAAAACCATAGAACTCAAAGGGGGTGTACATTCTTTTTCACATGACTGTATGTATTTGTATTATTTGACTGTGTCAGGCTACTCACAACTTAAACCTTTAAATAGAAATGATCCTTGTCTCCATTTGTTGAGAAAGGTATAATTTTATTAGACATCAGATGAATTGCAGTATTGCATAGCTAGAACTGAGAACTGCATACCAAAATCCCTCAGTTCTACTTTCTTCCCCTTAAGTGTCCCTCGCAGCCCACCCCACTGTAACCAATCAAATCCATGCAAGATGTTTTCATAATGGTCAGTCCAGGCGCAGCTTGGTATGCTGCTTCCTCCTTCTTGCAACTAGATGACCTTGGGGCAGGGTCTTGAGGAGGTGCAGTCTCTTCTTTTGATTCACTAAGCATTCCTCTTCATCCCCTCTTCCCACAGTTCATGGCAGTCTGTCACTACATAACAGCAAAGCACAGCAAGCATAAGGTGATAGCTGACATTCTGCCCCCCTTGAAATAAGGTGTTAGGCCTGGAAATGAAAAGTGAAGAAGAAAGATTAAGTGTGGTTTATCAGGATACTGGGAATGGAAGTTACATAAAAGCTTTGGGCATGCCACAAAATGCATGTTTTGAAAAGAGATTGGTGATGGCCCAAACTACAATGTTCCCAGAGCACTCAGGCAATTCAAAAATAAAATACATAGAAATTTTTTTCCAGGGTGCTGAGAGGTTAGGAACTTGCTGCAAGTTGGACTGTGCTTGGTGCTGGGCTCTGGTGGTAACTAGTGCTGCTATTTGATTGGAAAGAATGATGATGTCTACTACCTCTTCCTTGGCAGTATTATACTAGGGCATTCTGTACAAGGAATCTGCTAAGATTTTTTTTTCCTCCAGGCAAATACTTTAATGATTAATGTATTGCACCCACCTCACTTGTTTAGGGGACAGCTTTCGGGGGGTGAGGTGTTCAGTGCTTCTAGGTTTTTATGATCAGTCCAAACCTCAAAAGGTTCCATCTGACCACATAAACCTCCTTCTCCTGAGCCGTCCATCTACGTTCCACTCCGGACAGTTTTTGGTATAATGTAAGTACCCCTGGAGATATTCTAGGAACATGTCTTGTGGCCAGTCCAGGAGCCTGCTAGCCAACCCCCGGAATTCTTGCACATAGACCGTGATCAATCAACTGCCTTGCCAGATGATCTTGATCCTCCTTTTCGCCCTCCAGTTTGCCAGAGGGTCCTCAAATGGTTGTCTTAGGGCAATCATAAAATAGTCAAAATCATGCAGCTCTTCGGTAATAGCATCATGGAAAGAAACTACCCAGTTGGCTGCCTCTCCCTCCAGAGCTACAGTGATGTAGTTTGTCCCATGGTGCACCATGAAGTTCCATGCTTGGATAAGGAAGTTCCCCAACTGCCTCTCCATTGAATTTCACTTTCAGTTCTGGTATCCAATAATCATCTTGCCCTATTGGTCCCGCAGGAATCAGGGTGCTAGGGTGGTGGGTAGCGTTGCTGGTGCTAGTGCCAGTCCAGGTGTGGGAGTGGATAGCTCCAGGGAAAATGGGCAAAGAGTTCTCCAAACATTTCTTCGAGGAGTTCGAGCCTCTGGTCAATGTTTGTGTTGTGAGTCTTCTTCTGGTCTTGCCATAGATCATGCTGTTCCCTTGGGTGGTGTGGTCTGGTTCTGGATCCTCTGATGATGGTTTCCCTGTCAGTAGCTCCTCTGGCTTCCCAATGCCAGGAGACCACCTAGGCCGATCCCTTGCCATTGGAGACTCCCTCTGTCTCTCGGGGGGCCTGGGCAGCGGTGTCTGTTTCGACATGATTATGTTAGGGAGGTGCCGTCCTTGGTTTATAATAGTTCACACAGCAACTGTTTGAAGTTATGATAGACTTCTACAAGGGCATTTAACACTTGGTTCTGATGGTCACTCCTCCATAGTGATGTAACTGCATTTTGGGCAGTCAGTAGCTAGCCTGCCTTTACAGCTCTTTGCAACATTCCACAGTTACATTACTGCATTTTATGATATTTTTACTGAAAAGCAGCATTTATTCCAGTTTTCAGCAAAACCAGCCCATAACAAACACTTAAGCATTCACTTAATGTGGCATTTGCTTAACTACCATCTCAGAAAAAGGCAATAACATTGGTTCTATCCTGAAGGTGACCCATTTTATGACTATCATGACTTATGCCTTTAATGGGTATCATAGTCATAAGTCAAGGACTATATATAGACAGTCTGGTATTGAGAGAGGCTGGATGAAACATACAGAATAGACCAAAACAAAAGAGAAAGGAAAATTTTAAAAAATGGAAAAAGCAAAGGTGGCATCAGCAACTAAGCTGAAATTCTGCTCCATCAGAGTAGGATTCAATCAACTGTTATCTGCTATTGAAAACACACTGTTTCTAGGTAAGTGGGTAAACATTAGAGATACAATTGACAGGCAATTCACATCGTCAGATCTAGCTCTAGGTATCAGACATTTCTGGAATAAATCACAGAAATGATATCCATTTAGTGATATAACTACAGCCAAGATTCAAGCACTGTCCTTAAAAAATGAACATTGGTTGTCACCTGCAGGGCTGGCAACATCTACTGAAATGTTTGCATAGAGTATTATGGTGGGAGTGAGTGTGGCAGACATCCTCAGATGACAGCAAAAAGATAGATAAATCTCAAGATACTTCCCTACAATGTATGGC